GCATAAGGCTTCGCCTCGTTGTGCACTGTGTCCGGGTATGATGCTGGAAGACCTGCAACACTTCTGTCTGTTTTGTGAATTGGCTCGCCCTCTGTGGGACTGGTGGAGAAGCCCTTCGGTGCCGATAACAGCAGCGGCTGAAAGATGGACAGATGAGTTTGTATTGATGGGCTCAGCATCGAGACACACACAGGTGCCAGGGCGGCTTGGTTACGCAGAGGAAACATTGAGAGCAGCCATTCTTTGGACACTTTGGACGCTGCGAAACTCGGCGACCAGAAGGGGTGAGAGATGTACACCTCCAATGGTCCGGGCAGAAACCAAGTATTTCATCAAACAGGCGATTCACACAGACTGGACTTACAAAGTGCAGAACAAAGGGTGTTCAGCCAAAGCGACCAGACATTTTGTTACAAGATGGATGGCCTTCCCGGGCCTGCTGACAGTCCAACAGCAACCAATGATGCGCCCGGAATTGACATTCTCTGCCTTCTTCCTTTGAACCTTGCCTCTCCCAGTTGACGGATGGCTTGTGTTGAGCTTCAGTGTTGTGGGCATGGGGTTGGGTTTGGTTGCATTGGGAACAGAATAGCAGATTACTAGCTCTGCTTGTAAAAAATGTGGTGTGTGCTTAGTTTAGACTGTGCTATTGTTTCGGTGCCTGAGTGATTGTGTGTGCTTTTTTCGGTGCCTGAATGCTTGTGTGTGCTTAGTTTAGACTGTGCTATTGTTTCGGTGCCTGAGTGATTGTGTGTGCTTTTTTCGGTGCCTGAATGATTGTGTGCTTAGTTTAGATTGTGCTATTGCTTCAGTGCTTGCTGCGCGCAATATGTATCTCGCTAGTTTAGACTGCGCTATTGTTTTTTCCGCTTTTCTTTTTGTTTACAAGAACGACAACKTCGGTGGGTTAACAGCTTTTTGTGCCTATAACAAGCCATGYCAGTAGGTCAGTAGGCTGGCAGCTTCCTGAACCTGCCTCGTGGTAGCCAGAGGATACAGTTCAGTTCTTGGGAACTCTTTTATGATGTAAGGGATGCCGGACCCGTTTTCCGGCTTGTATAATTCAAAAGCGGCCGCTGTGTGAACCAGGCCGGAGTGCCTGGATCACATGGCATTGGCCGCCCTAAAAAAAAATAAAAATAAAAAAAAAATTAAAAAATAGGAGTAGTGGTAGGTAGGTAGTGTGAGGTGAAATTGATAGAACTTCTCCCAAAAAATAAATAAAAAAATGATAGAAGAGGGAAAAAACAAAAAAAAAAAAAACTCAAAAAAAAAAGCGAAGAATACCAATGAGCCTCAGTTGGCACACCCAATAACTGTTGAAATCCCGACCCAAGTTCGAATCCTCAGGGTGGAACCGGATGAATGCAAAAAGCGAAGAGAAACACGTGGCGCCTAGTGGCCTTTGCTACGCGACAAAAAGCTTCACCTTTCGCTGTTTACCTGATCCTTTTCCCGCCGCCCCCGAAAGCAAAAAGCGGGGACTCGAAGGTCCTCTCTGGACTACACAACATTCAAAATGTCTCTGGAGCCGGCAGCCGTCCGCATACATTCAAAATTGTTGGCTTAAAGTTCGACCGCATCAAGTCGAATGCGCCGTCCAGGTACGTGCGAAACGTTGTGTACTGGGACTGATCGCCGCCCACTTACCTCGTCTCCGCACTCACTGACCGATATCCGGCCCCGCCGTGATAAGTTCCTCAGGGTGATCAATTTTTTGTGTTTTTTTTGGCGACCCCGCGTCGCCAATTGCTGGTTTTCGGTGTTGTTTTGCTGCGCGCCAGTTGTTGGTTGTTGGTGTCGTTTTGCTGCGCGCCAAGAGGAGGGGCGCCATTGCTGATCACATTGAAGTGGATAGGGAATGCAGCGCCATCACTCGATGTATCTGAGCGTACTCACGGCCAGATTCCGTCCGAAAATCGCACTGTAACAGTGTGAACTGTGACCACTCTTCCGCCGCACACGGACTCTGACAGCAACAGGTCACTAAATAGACATGTTTTTTTTTTTGCTTAAAAGAATAATGGAATTTTTATAGAAAGTGGTATACAAATCGGGAAAACGCCTGTACTCTCTCTCTCTTCGTCTGTTCCTCTGTGTGTGTGTGTGTGTGTGTGTGTGTGTGTGTGTGTGTGTGTG